TCCTCGGTCGTATCGATCGGTACATTCATGTAATTGTTTCTCAACCATTCAAGCTTGAACTTTACCACCCTTCATGTGAGGAACTTGACCCAGCAAATCTTCGCACTTCCCTACCCAATTAAAGTCGTCGCTACTCGTGACAGCATCCCCATCCACTCTGAGTCCAAGCAAAACCCCAATATCCTACAATGTAATCGTCAACTCTCCTTGGCGTAGGTGGAATGTATTTGTCTCGGGCCTCCATCGTTCAATCAGCATCGTCAAGAGATCCCAATCAAGACTCACCCATTTAATTTGTGAGCACTCAAAGAAGCTTGCTTGACGGACATAAAATTGGACATGTGGGTCTATCAAGTCCCAGCTCGAATGTGCATGAGTATGATCAACAATAGTAATGCTCGGGGCCTGCATACATTAAACAGTGCAAATGTTCAGTAACAATCAATAACTTAGAATAATTAATATGATTGAAAATATAATTTACAACTACCAATGTAATTTACCTCCCAGAGTCTATCTTCGTGGATCGATGTCGATCTTGGCCATAAAGGATCTCATACGTCAATGTACCCACCTCCATACCTATACATATGATGATATAAATGTGTCAGTGCTATGACGTATGCAAAAATATAAGTAGAATAAAATCTCAGATTTCGTATATATCATTGACTTATAAATGAAGTGGAATAAAATTAAAAATTAAATAAAGTGTACTGATAAATTGCTATTTATTTGGATTGGTGGGACAATGAGATATCCTGTGGCCCGATTGTCTACAACATCCATACCTATTTTTTTGAACTCCTTCTCGACCTTCATCCATCGTACCTTTTATACGTGTTGATCTCGGGCGTCTGGCTTATCTCTTATATTCAGGAGGTAACACATGCGGCCCGTTGTAGGGTGGTCAGTAACGACTATGTACAATGGGATAAAAACACTAATTATATGAATCTCTATAGTGGCTTGATTGATACCACTCAGAAGCGTATGTGTAATACGATGTATTTACAACCCAAATTGCTTGGTCGTAACCGCTATAACATGTGAACATGGCATTTTTTGCAATTCTGGTATGTTACATGTGCATGTGCATTATGTCCCTCGTAAATTGACGGTGTAATTATAACCGTGATTGTCTATAACCTGCCATTCATCTATAGCAAATCTAACAATCTAAGTCAATCTCACCTGCTTGACACGAGCTCCTACAATCTCTTCATTTTTTGGTGTCAACAATGTCCCCCAATTTTCTCCATCCTCTCGTCGCTTGACAAAATAATGATTTAGTCTATAAAATGTCCTCACAACCAATGCCTGTATGGGCATTGCTCGAGACCCCTTAAGTACACCGTTGAAGCTTTCAAAATAATTAGTTGTCATCATACAATAGAGATTCTATCCATCTTTACTTAGTGCCCATCGGTCGACGTAATCACTTCCCAAACTACTCTCAATCCAGTCATGTGCAGCTTGAGATGTTGCCTTGATTTGATCCCGTATCCGATCATACACACACGTTTCGGGTGTAACACCCGCTTACCAAAGAAGGTTTTGTAAATGTATCTGACCAAAGTTCTTTTTAAAATTAGCTCTAATGTGTCGTAAGCAATAGCGGTGATTGTGATGAGAGCCAAATCTCCTGTAGCTCTAATGTGTCGTAAGCAATAGCGGTGATTGTGATGAGAGCCAAATCTCCTGTACAATGCTCTTGGAATACCTTTCATCCTGTAAGCAATAGCGGTGATTGTGATGAGAGCCAAATCTCCTGTACAATGCTCTTGGAATACCTTTCATCCTGTCGGATATAAAAGTAATTTTTCTAGGAGGCAACACATTAAAAATATATAATTGAATGCAAAAAAAAACCACTCCCAATTTTCACTGTTCTCGCACAACTGCGAAGGCCAAAGGAAATAAGCCACCATCTGCATCTACTCCTGTAGCGACAAGCAATACACCCTTATATTTACCGTATAAGTGTGTGCCATCAATGTTAAGAATCGGCCGACAAAATATAAATCCCTCGATCGAAGGACCAAATACCTAAAATACATAGGTGAATTGATGAACTCCCGGATTGATCTCTTTGGTTATGAGTTTGTATTCAGATCCAAGATTGCTTCTTTTGATCGCATCAAGATATTGAGGTAGTATCGCGTAAGACTTCTCCCAATCACCAAATATTTTTGTCATTGTAATTCTCCATGCATTCCACGCTTTACTATACAATATTTCAATGAACTTCGTATGTAACACTCTATCAATTATATTATCGGCCTTAGTTCAAGCTGTTTCTTTAATTTTGGCATAATCAACCGAGCTATGTAGGAGGCGGAAGCACCACTGTGATCTTTCTCGAATATTGGATTGTTACATGTATGAACACCGTAGTGTTCCGTGATCTTAAAATATCTATTATGTTTCTTTCCAGCAAATGCATATAACTTCCAAGGAAATGCATAATCAGCTTCATTCCCCTCAGCCCGACCTTGCCTTTGTGTATTCATAAAACAGATTACCTCATAACTTGTGCGATTGCTTTTAATTTGCTTGAATTTGATCAACTTTTTGATTGAGTAATCACGAATAACATCAACCAATTGGTCTTTAGTCTCGAATAAATCACCAACCCTAAAAGGGACCTCATCATCTTCTGTATGAGATGAACTTTCGCCAATGTGCATATCTTGTACTGTGAAAGAACGAACTCACTCATCATTTTCAAACTCGTTGGGGGGTGATTCTTCGTACTCAACATATTCATTATTAATATTCATTATTAACATAAGCTTCATCGGGCCAATCCGGATTCTCTTCATCGTCTTCACTTATAAATTGCATGCTGTCAATTGGTGCACATCTTCACCTTCAGAGGCGTTGCTTCTTTCATCCTCTTCAACTGTTGCCCCTCTTAACGGCCTCATATTTTCATAAACGACTTCATTGTTCATGACATTTGACGTTCCACCGAATGAAGGTGCACCACTATTATATTGAAATTGAGTCTGCTCCATTTCATTCAAAGAAGAAAGAAAACCATCAGACTCAACTCCCAAATCTAACATGCGTGAGAATTCTTCTGGAGGGTTGAATATTTGACACGAACTATATGGCAACTTTTCAATAAACAATTCTACTGTTGGTTGTGATTTTCTCAAATTAAACATAATACTCATATGATGATCGTTTGAGATCTCAACTGCGGACGTTCTATCAAAAGTTATGGGCCAATTGCATATTATTTTTAGTCGGTACTCTCGTGGGTCAATTGCCGTAACTCGATGACCAAGTCAAGGTAACTATATGATTCTGAGATCATTAACGGCCTTGTTTCCCCTCCGACGTACGTTAGCATATTATTCTTTCCATAATTAATTTTTCCACCATAAGAACAAGCAATAAAAATCATATTGTTCAACCTATGCAAAAAAAATTATATCATTTAAATGCAAAAAATTCAAAAATATTATCAATTACAAAACCCCAAATTACAACCCTAAACCCCAATTATAACCCAAAACCCCCAAATCCTAAACCCTAAAATTGACCCCCAAATCCTAAACTCTAAAATTGAGTATTTTATACCCTAAATGTTTAATTTCAATTGCAACAAGAGTAAATTTTCTAAATAAACCACTACAAATATTCGTTTTTGAGAAAAAAAACTCTAGATTTCTACATGTTAAAAGAGAAGAGAATGTAGAGAAATTACTAGGGGTGAGCACGATTCGGTTCAAACCGAAAAAACCGACCGAACCGACCCAAACCGACCCGAAAAAAGCGGTTTTATGAGTAAGGCGGTTCGGGTCGGGTTGACAATTTTTCAAACCGACCCATAATTAAATTTTTCACCATAAGAGCAAGCAATAAAAATTATATTATTCAACCTATGCAAAAGAAAATTATATCATTTAAATGCAAAAAAATTTAAAAATATTATCAATTACAATCCTAAACCCAAATTACAACCCTAAACCCCTAAATTCTAAACCCTAAAATTGACCCCAAATTCTAAACCCTAAATTTGAGTATTCTATGCACTAAATGTTTAATTTCAACTACAAATAGAGAGAATGTAGAAAATTTTATTTTTGAGAAAAACCCTAGACTTCTACATGTTAAAAGAGGAGAGAATAAAGAAAAATTACCACTCGGAAGCTTCATGATGGAATTCGGTTGAAAATTGAGGTTGAAATCCGAGATTTGTGACAAATATGGGTTTGAGGAAGAACGTTTGAGGGCAAGGAGTGTTTTAGGGTGGCTGGGAATGAGGTGGGGAGGTGGGGAGAATGATTGGGGTTTTTATAGGGGTCGGGCCCAGGGGCTAAATAGTCAGGGTTGCCAACCTCGACTATTTGGTCCCTTAGCCATTTCCAGCTCGACTCGTCTGCTGGGGACAAAAGTCTCTGCTAAATGGTCGGGGTTCCCAACCCCGACCAATTAGACAGTGTGCTAAATTAGTCAGGGTTTCTAACCCCGACTAATTTAGCCTGTATATTAGCCAGGGCGTGCAAAATAGTCGGGATTGACAACCCCGACTATTTAGAGGCGAGATCAAAAAAACGATCCATTTCGTGGCCACGGTGCTGACGTGGCCACGAAATGGGGTCGGTTTCTGTAAATAAAATGGGATTGAGTCGGTTTTTAAAAATAAAAGTTGGAATGAGTTTAAATCGAAAATTTCTTCATATACCCATCAAATCTTTCATATTTATAAAGTTACCCCCCAAAATGTTGCCATTTGCAAAACTACCCCTTAATTCTCTCACATCCAGTTTTTCCACCTCTCCCACTTGGCAGTTCTAATATTTAGATAGAATATTTTGCAAACCTATTGCATATTATTGGAAAATTTTGACACCATCGTATTTAGAAATCAATATTGTTAAGATGTGCAAAAACCCCTTATATATATTTCACTTGCACTCCGTAGTCCGTATGCCATATGCCCCTGCCCATATTAATGCGTGTATCCATTAAAAAAAAGAAAAAAAAAGAAAAACAAAAACAAAAACAAAAAAAACCCAGCACGGCGCTCCATTAATCTCCCTTCTTCTCCTTCTCGCTGCTCTTCCCCAGCTCAAAATCTCCACCGTCTTTCCCTCAAAATAATGGCCGGAAAAACTCAAACTCTAATCCCCACCTGCTCTCTCCAACTCGCTCTCCTCACTCTCGCTGCCCTAACCCTAACATCCTTCACTCTCCTCTCTCTCCGATCCCTCCGATCTCAGCCCCACGAATCCCCTCTCAATCCATCTCAATCGCTCTCCTCCTCATCGTCCTCTTCGATCTACAAATCTCCTGAAATATTTCACTTGAACTACAATCAGATGGTCAGAGACTTCAGGGTTTACATTTATCCTGACGGAGATCCCAAGACTTTCTACCAGACGCCGAGGAAGTTGACGGGGAAGTACTCGAGCGAGGGGTACTTCTTTCAGAATATTCGAGAGAGTTCGATGAGGACTGAGGATCCGGAGCAGGCTCATCTCTTCTTTGTTCCCATCTCGCCTCATAAGATGAGGGGAAAGGTATTTGGATTCCCTTTTTTTTTTTCTGGCATTAGCATAGAGTTATACCCGGATGAGATTTAGTTTGAAGGAAAAGTGTTTCTTATAATTGAATTGCCCTCACGTACATTATAGTTTAACGTTCTTGAATCACCGGCCTAATTTTCTCAAGCGTAGGAAGTTCTTATTTTGTGATGCCCCGTACTTATTTGCACCACATCGGGGGTTTCCGAAACTTAGATGGGTTTATGGTATCTCATGGGAATTAAGTGTAACAATTGCTTGTCCATTTTTACAGTGGTTTGAGCTCAAAAACATGTTGCTCAGTGGGTCTTAGGGCTTAAATCGCACCAATGGGCCTGGGGAGAGACAAAAAGTATCAAAGCAGTTAGTCAGCGGAAGGCGTGGTACGAAGTGCTACGTGCGACATATTTGACGCGGGGGCATTGTCTTACCCCATTTATTTATCCACGCCGTAACATAGTTGAGGTTGGGTGATTCTGACACCCATTTATTTTCTCAAGGGGAATTTACAAAAGATGAATGGGTTTATTGGATGTGGCGAAGGAAAATATAGATTGGTCTTCTTTTCTTTTCACAAATAATTTCTTTGATCATTATGGATGCTATATTATGTTCATACATTTCAATGAAATGGATGCTCAAAAAGTTTTTGTCTTTCTACAAATTCGTTGCATATGAAGTTGTAAGTTATTTTCACTATGGATGATGCTACAAGATCTTGATGATTGTTGGATGGGAACTACTTGATGAGCCTTATTACGTTTTGAACTACCTTTCACTTGATCATAGTGCCAGATAATCGCTTCCTGGAAAAGCGTAAGTTGATAAGTTCAGACCAAACAATATATATTTGAATGAGAACAACGCTTCTGTTGAACCTAGATTGAACATGAGATGTATGCATTAGATTCCAATCAAACTAGCTCAAATTAGGTTGCAGTGTTTTCAATGCGCGAGGCGCAATGCGAGGCGCAAAGCATCTTTACGCGCACATGCTCAAGGCGTAACGCGATGCGCCCGCCTGAGTGATGCGAGGCGCACACCACACACATAATATTTCAATATATGTAATTAAGCACGAAAGAACATATTTTTAGAATTTACATAAAAAATATCATGATAAATAATATCTTGCTACAAAATCACAATATATTGCCTTAATTTCTAATGCTAACACCCAACATAGTAGCAAATTTCATAAATTTTCAAATCAAATGTTAAATCAAGACTTATATCCAAACTAAGGATTAGTAATGGTCCTCAATTGAAGGTTATTAAAAAAGCTCAATAGATTTATTTTGTTTTTTTGGATATGGAATATCAAGTATAAAGACTCGATTGAAATGTTAACAAAAAAAACTATATGAGGAAATGCACTACATGCATCCTACACAAAGTACGGATGTACGCGAGGCGCAAAAGGCGCTGCTGCATCAGATGTGGGGCGCATCGCCACCGCTCCGCATCGTAAGGCGCATGAGGCGCAATGAGGCGCGCGCATTTGAAAACACTGTTAGGTCGAAATATTTTTCAAGCCAACCCTGAACAGTTCTAGGTTCATTCATTCAGACTTGGCCTATTACATGTATAAGTGAAGAAAATGATCAGTTAACAAGAGGGCAATTCATGTTTATTCTTTGAAACGTGAAACATAAAATCGAGAAACTTGAGTTTGCAGAAGGCTCATTCAATATGAACCTTAGCAGTTATCTACAAGGTGTTGGGTGCTTCTCGATTTCATGGAAGGATGAGTAAGATCTTTCATGCATTAAATTAGACATGACCAATTCATCTTGTGTGGAACTGGTAGTCCCGACCCATGATTGGATCATCCTCTGATGTGAAACAAATTTCTTTCAGCTTCAATAATAAGTGTTAGGAGTGATAACTAAATCTTTGTCTCTCAACCTATTCATGGTATATGCTAACAAGATCGCAGTCCTTCAGATTCTGATTTACTTCAAACTGACTTCAAGAAAAGTGTGACGGTTAAGGTAGTATTCTTGTAATGGATGTCCAATTTTTGGTGATATTCAAAACTTGTAGTTCAAGAAACAGTATTTGTGATGAATATGGTGACCTGTAATTGGGGTTTATTTTAATGTGGCATTGCTAGTGAATATATGTAGGATATATTAGTGATTCTCATCTATTTTCATCTTCTGGACATTCGTTATAATCTCTGTTGCCTAAATTGAAAATTCATGTGATTTTCAGACACTTTCTTGGCCATTGATCAAGAAGGTTTTATATATTAGATATCGGGGAAATATCGAATGACCAAAATTCATATCGGATTGCAGATATTGGGGAAATATCGGGACATGTTTTAAATATCGGAATTCCGTAATGAATGTTTGCATACATAGTATAATGCACTAAAACGTAATCTCAACATATTTAATGAAATCTAAGCATACAAAATGTAAATGATATATGTTTAGAATCATTAATCAACCCTGTAAAATAAACAATAGTACAAATCAATATTGTAACATTTCGTCAGATTTTGTAGGCTAAAATATCATTTGGTATAATTGGAGATTTATGATAGCTTGCCCAATAATTTCCAAACACGGTATATTGTTTTGCGACAAGTCATATAAAAGGATATATAGGCCAACATATTGGCTAATATATCAGCCATATCAGGGATATATTGTCCAAAATAGCCAAAAAGCGGTAAATGATATTTATAGACAATATTAGTTGCGGCAAGCCCTGTAAAAGGACATTTAGGGCCATGTCAGGGATATGTAAAACAATGTTGATCAGTGATATTTTTTCTTCATGGCCATAGTTGTTTTTATTGTGGATGAAAACTATTTGAAAATTCATGTTTGAGTAAAAGATATTGAAAACCTCTTCATTTCCACCCCTGCATGTTTTGCACATTAACATTCCAGTTGCATGGAAAATAGCTTCCGTATTTTCAAGTCTCTGCACTCTTTATATGTTTTTTTATATGCTATACGTATTAAAATAATATGATACGAGAGAATATGACTGCCATTAATGCATAATCGTGTTGGAAAGTCTTACTGAGTTCATACCCTTGCTGAAGCAATAATTTCTTCAAGTTCAGATTGTTCTTTATTTGATAGTGTAACAACCTCACAGGGAACATCTTATGAGAACATGACCATTATAGTTCAGAATTATGTTGAAGGCTTGATAAGCAAGTACCCTTACTGGAATAGGACCTTGGGCGTGGATCATTTTTTTGTTACTTGCCATGACGTTGGTGTTAGAGCATTTGAAGGACTACCCTTCATGATCAAAAACTCCATAAGGGTGGTCTGTTCTCCAAGCTATGATGTTGGATATATCCCACACAAAGATGTTGCTCTTCCACAAGTACTTCAACCATTTGCACTTCCAGCTGGTGGAAATGATATTGAGAACAGGTTAGAATATGGAGTGCTAGTATTTTCCTCTTGTTAGTTGTAGTTTTAAATTAGTTTGTCTATAGATTTCTATGCCTTCTAATGATTACTTAGTGCTCTATCGGTTGGTTTAGTTTTGGATTATCAATATCATGCTCAAACACTGAGGAAAATTGGGTTTTAAATGTTATCAAAATCGTACTCATAGGGCATTTAACTTCAGTGGATGTTGGTTGGTATGGGTGCTTGCTATTCATTAATTCGGGTTTGTGTATACAAAAGAATCAAACAATACCCTATCCATGGATATTTTTCCTCTTGTTGGTTTAAGTTCTTCATTATATTTTTATAAGGTTTTGCAACCTAAAAAGTAAACGCAATTGTATATCTTAAACAAACAAGTGGTGACACAAACGTAACTGTTAATACTGAAGGAAATTATGCTTATATATTTCTTTTGACACTTTCGAGCATTTTTATGCATATAACTTGGCGGAATCAACTTTTATTTTAAGTTTTTAGCAGTTGAAGTGGGCATCAAATAAGCATGACCTCAATGACAATTTTAGGTTCCTATTAGTTTATAAATCTTTACAAGTGAGGCTATTATCAAATTATCATTAGTTTATTATGTACATAAAAACATGCAATACAGTATGTAAATACAGTTAATTCTTATTGGCATATCTCAGATAAGGGCAAAGTCCCGGGTTAGGTTGGACCAAGGTCAATTTTCTTAACTTGATAACCTGCCATTTTAAGATAAGGGCAAAGTCCCGGGTTAGGTTGGACCAAGGTCAATTTTCTTAACTTGATAACCTGCCATTTTAGGTTTAAATTAAGATCAGGTCAGGACCAAGACGAGTCTCTTTCCGATTATCTATCAGGTTAGGATTTCGATCTATATATTAAAACCATAAAAACTCCGGACCAGGTTTGGGATTTTGGTCCATACATATCTATATTTCAATTTTTAAAAGATGAAATCCGAACTTAAATTCAAAGGAAAAATATGTACTTATCTGTCTGAACTTCAAAACTAATTCCATAACCCATATTCTTTCTATAATCTATATAGTCTAGTAGTCATAACTCATAATACCTTAATTAACACCTTTAAAAAATGTTTGAAGTTTACAAAAAAACAGCTTAAAACAAATTTAAAAATTACAAAAAATTCTAAAATTTTTAAAATTATAAATAGCCCCAGGAAAATCTGAAACTACAAATTACTATTGAAAATTCTCAAAATATGCAAAAAGCAACCGAAAATTTGAAATTACAAAAAAGAACATCTGGAAATCAGAAATTTACAAGCAACCTTCTGAAAATTACAATTTTGTCCTTAAAAATTCAAAATTGCAAAAAGACTCCGTGAAACCTTTAGAAATTACGAAAACACCTAAAAATCTAAAAATTAAAGCAGCCCAATTTGAGGGGGTTGTTTGTAATTTTCAGATTTTTCAAGGTGTTGTTTTGCAATTTCCAAAAGTTTCACTTTTTTTTTTTGAAATTTTGAATTTTCAGCATCTTTTGCAGTTTTTAGATCCTCAAGGGGCTGTTTGTAATTTTAAAAAAATTGGGTGTTGTAATTTTGATTTTTAGGGTTTTTTTTGTAAATTTTGGATTTTTTAAGGTGTAAATATCAAATTTTGAAGTGGTTGTTTACAATTTTGGGAATGTTTTTTGTAATTTCCAATTTTTCAGGGTGTCATTTGAATTTTTTTGGATCTTGTTTTAATATTTCAGTAAAGAACCCAAAAAAAATTGAGGTGCCATGTAATCTCATCCATTGAGTACTTAATGGTAGCCTCTCAAAAAGATCGCATTGGGCAAGCAAATATAGTATAAGGGGGGAAATAGGCAAATTGATAATTTAGGGAGCAAGTTGAGTGTTCAGCAATACTTTTAAGGGGAGTTTTTCATTTTGTCCCTTTTAATTTTGTTAGATACGATGCGAATCATGTAGCTCATCGGTTAGCAAATGTTGCGTTGAGTTTGTCGAGTTCTTGGGTGGGAATTATCCAGAGAAAATTTATCCTCATATAACCACGTGATACTTATCAATAAACTGCTTCCAGTTTTTCCTTAAAATATATATATATTGATACACCTCTTTTATCAATCTTGCTACACAGTATACACATCTGCTTAAAGTTTTCATCCTTCTAATTAATTAATAGTAATCATTTTCATTTTCCACGTTTTGAAAATTAATAGTGTGAATGAAAGAAAAATATCAAACCAAATCTCAGAAAATATGATGGTAAATTTGCAAGTAGTCATATCAGAAGGCTGCAAATAAAAAAGATTCAAAGTTTGTATATATTAAATTTTATTCTATTATTAATAAATCTTGGTTTTGTGTTGGTTTCACAAAACCAAGAAGGCACTAATCGATTAAAATAGTAAGGCTTAACGCAAGCCGGCTAAGTTTCATAGCAGCATCATCTTCTTTAGCCATAGGAGACTTCTGCTTAATCTCATCGTAACCGTCGATGCATGCCCCTATGTCATAATCTCTATACCCAAATTAAAAGAAATAGTCGGATACTGTTGAGATTTAAGTGCTTCAATGGCTTTCTTGAGATAATTATAGCCTTCATCGTAGGTTACTTTTTTTTCCCCAGAAAAGAAGAACCTCTTAGCTCTCATTGGTCACATTCTTACTGTTCATAAGCTCATTGATCTTGCCAAGATTGTGTGCAACTTTGATGTTTTCTAGGCTGACTGCTATAGTAGCATGACCTGATAAATAAATATATAAATTTAATACTACATCTGCAATTATCCATAAAATTAATATGGAGTCAGAAAAAGTGAATTCTGAAAAAAGAGGAGAACAAAGAATTACTATCACCAAAAGTGTCGGCGTTAATACTTCCTGGATCAAACTGAAGTGTTGCCATGCAGAAGTTGAAGTTTTGTAGTAGAGTTATACAGAGCTACTGCTTGCTTGCATTTTTCTTCAAGAATAGCATCAACTGATAACAGGTTAAGGAGGAGTACAACAACAATGAGATAGAAAGGCCTGCATTATTTGAGAGGGTGGCATCAACTGACTGCAATTTTGTTTTAGATGAGACCTATATAGATAGTTATATAATGCAGGAGAGAATCTTCTTTTGTTATCTAATTAATGGGTAGGTTCATAATTTGCAAGTAAAAAATTGCGTATCTAATGCCTTGTCAACATTCAACAAATTGTTTGAACCAAATAAGAGCAATATCTCTCCTATTAATACTTACCTATGATGTCAAAATTTCTCTTGCCTGGTCAACATTTCATAAATGGGCATGTCCATATTTGCTAAGTAAATAAATGTGGAGCATCAACTGTCCGGAGCTCAACTTCATATTTGCTAAGTAAATAAATCTGGAGCATCAACTGTCCCGAGCTCAACTTCCTAAATCAGCGCGCATCATGTTTACCCTTCCATTGGCCCTCCTTATATTAAGTCGGGATTACATCAGGTGTAAATTGGGTAAATTCCTAGTCCTGTATATACCTTGTGATTTTGGCTACTACTCTTTTTAGTATGATAGGGTTATTATCGTAAACATGTAATAAATTCCATGGAAAAATATTTCAACATTTTGATCATGTGATGCCATTTGTTGGCTTGTTTTTGTTCCTTCGTAATGCAATATCTTCTTTTCTCCTCATCGCAATGTTTATTAGTCTAAGGGGACATCACATGATTTCTCCTTATTGCGTGTGTAAAAAGTCTTGGTTTTTAGCTGTTAGATGCTGCTAGTATGACGTCGTTATCATCCCAATCATGTGAAAATGTCGCAGAGAATGAAATTCTTCTTTGTTTGAAATGCAATTTCAGTTGCATCTTTTGAGTTGTTTTGTGCTTATTATTAAACGTGGTTCCCTATAACTTTATGTGATTTCTGATTCCCTGTGGAAAATATTTTTCCTGGCATCAACATCTGGACTCTTTCGTTTCTGAGGGATCTTACATGCTTTCTTCTTTGTTGCATGGGCTTAAACTGAAGAGAAATAAGTCTACAAAGCCATGTCAGTTGACCTAGGATCGTCACTTATTCATGGTTTCCTTTCAAGAATATTACTTGAAAATATTCTGACCAACCTGTTGTTAGATCTTGAATTCTTGGTAAATATGGCACCCAGTCATGCTCTGGGTACTCTAGGTATTTTGACAAAAGACCAAACATGGTGAGGATTAAAAATGTTTCTGCATTAATAGAGTCGCATCAGTTTTAACTCCTAAAACCCAACTTATGGAGGTTTGATTCCTTGCTGATCCTGTTATTCTCATTTGCTTTTTGTTCGTCTTTCTCTGAACTATGTTACCTTAAGGTGCCATCCCAATTGCAAGATTTCTTCCTTCTGCTTTGGAACTGATTAGCATTGATATCATGAGATGTTATTCACTGCCATTTATGCTAGTATATTGTGAAATTCTGCTGAAGCTTTGATCAAAAACAGGAAGGCAAAAAAACCTTGTAGACAGCTATATAAATGGCAGATTGAAGAGATTCATGTGGTCATATAACATACAATATTTTTGAGCTGGCGTTATCATAATGTACCCCTGTGCAAATACTGTTGCTCACTTGCTCCACTTAGGTAGCCTTTTAAGACTGGAATCTTGATGCTATCTATAGTATATATTTAAGAAAAGCCACCCTTTTTTGTTTGTGTCAAATTTTCAGAAATCCTAAAAATGCCATCGCTATTTAAGAAATTAAAAAAAAAACCCATCACTTCCAAAAAGTAATGAAAGTGCCCAAAACTTGAAAGAATCAACATAAATGCTTTTACCATTGCAAAAATGATCAAATTGAAATGCAACTCACATGTAATAAATACCATTGCAAAAATGATCAACATAAATGCTTTTACCATTTCAATCAAGACCATATTGATGAAGCTGATTGGATCTTGTATTTGTTATCATTTTATGCCCAAGTTTGGAGAATATATGATGTCTTTTGCTTCATTTTTTACCGTTTATATTTTATTCTTGAATTGTGTTATTAGGACAATTTTGCATATGCAATCTTCATTTTCATCCATCATATATGTTAGATATTATTACTTTTGAGATATTAGTAGATATTATGAGTTATTGTTAAGACATTGTGAGATATGATTTGATCGTTGCCTTCTTTATTTTCTCTACATGGTGTCAGAGTGTCAGAGCGTACTTGATCCTACATAAACTTCTTTCACCTTTTTAGATCTCAAGGCCGCCAAGGGGGGTTTGCATGTCGTTCATGCTCCCCTCGACGGCTTTGATGTCTTCAACAACTACTTTGGCATCATTATTTTCTAGATCTTCTCAAACAGTCTCCACATAATAACCTAAATAAAAAGACAGTTCGGCGTCTACTGTTCACGTGATGAACAGTACAGATGTTACTATTCATGCAATGAACAATATTGGAGTTGCTATTCACTCTTCATTATCTTTGGTAGTTATATGCAATGGCAGCGGTCCTCTTTTGATGCGGTCTCAATTGGTTAATCCATCTAGGATTTCTTCTACTGGCTGATCCGTCTAGGGTTACTTTTTACTGGCTATCCCACCTAAGGTTTCTCTTTAATGGCTAACCCGCCGAAGATGTTTTTACTCGCTGACCCGCCTATAGTTTCTCTCTACTAGCTAACCCGCTTAAAGTTTCTCTCTACTGGCTGACCTGCTTAGAATTTTTACTGGCTAACCCGTCTAGGGCTTCTACTGGCTGTGACTACACTTATCTGATTGTTGACGTCTTCAAATATTCCGGACAAAGATGACATTACGAAGTTCTTGCAACTAGCGGTTTTGTTTTCATTTGTACCAAGCTGGACATACATAGTATATATACTCCAGCTTGAGGGGGAGTGTTAGATATTATTAGTATCATGATATTAGTAGATATTATGAAATATTGTTTAGATATTGTAAGATATGATCAGATATGATTTTATCTGATACCTATTTTGTAATATCTTCCTAATCTCTATTTAAGAGAGGTTAGGGTTAGATGAATAATAATCTTAGTCTTTTCTATTTCTCTACAATGTATGTGGTATTATATCTTTACGACCTATTTTTCAAATATTTGTAGGACAATACTTGGTTTCTGGGCTGGGCATCGGAATTCAAAGATTAGAGTTATCTTGGCGCGAGTTTGGGAGAACGATACAGAACTTGCCATTAGCAATAATCGCATAAACAGAGCTATAGGAGAGTTGGTTTATCAAAAAACTTTTTATAGGACTAAATTTTGCATTTGTCCAGGTGGCTCCCAAGTCAATAGTGCTCGAATAACTGACTCTATTCACTACGGATGCATTCCAGGTACAACTTAATATATAATTTAGAGATTTTTACAAGAATAATCATATACTTGGGCTAAAATAGGAATCTACATCAATAAAACTGTGGTCCATTAAAAGTGATTTTACATTTCTCTTTTATATTTCTAACTAAAATGCCATTATCTTTTGCCTTTTCCAGTAATCCTTTCTAATTACTATGATCTGCCATTCAATGACATCCTTGACTGGAAGAAGTTTTCTGTAGTACTAAAAGAGAAGGATGTCTACCAGCTCAAGTCTATTCTTAAATCTATACCACATGAAGAGTTTGTTGCACTACATAAGGGATTAGTTGAGGTATGCTTCTGTATGATTTATTCTTTGCATAATAACAAAAATCCTGTTAGTATTCCATGTAGCAGTTTCATCAATATCAGACCTTTACAGCTTTAAAAACTAATTGCGTACTTTATATTATAAGATTTAATGTTGTTAATGCAAGCATTACTCTTTACTTATAAGGAGAGCATTTGTTATCAGATCCAGAAACACTTTGAGTGGCATTCACCTCCAGTCCCTTATGACGCATTTCACATGGTAATGTACGATCTTTGGTTGAGGCATCATGTTATCAAGTACTGAAGTTGTTGACTACATATACTTCTATGTGCCGTGTTTTCCGGCATGAACACTAAGTTCTAGAGAAAGAGGGCCTCGACATTTGGGATCTGAAGCTACAAATGAAATGTTGAAACAAGTCCTCCGAATAGATCATACTTCGTCTCAAAAGTGTAGAAGATGAACTGTTGGGTGTTTGCAGATTTTGATTACTGAGCTGTAAGTGTATTTCCACAGTACATGTAAATGATTCATCTTTCTTTTGTGTCCATATCTTTATTCTTTTCCCAATGGTCTTGTTGCTTCTCTGGATAACTGACATTGATGTTTGCCTAAATGCAATATTGACAACTCCCCACTTTTCTTCTTGCTAATTATATATTTATTAATGTAACATCTATAATTTGAAGTTTTATTTGTGCACGTATTAGTGTCTAATTGCCTTAAACACCTTTTTCTCTTTGGTGTTTTTCTTACAAGGGCAACAAAAGGAGGTCGTAAGGGGTTTTTGTCTTTTCAACCCAAAGCTTTATCATCACTTATTTAAACACCCACCTACTTCCGTAAATACCCATACACCCAAAGTACCCCTTGTGACTTATTTATGAACCCAAATGGTAATATACTCTCAAACTTTATATTGTATTTTCCAAAAAAACTCTAAAATTCAAAATTGTCTTTCTTTCCCAAATAAAGTGAGAGTATACAAGTGTAAAGTAAGGGAAATTCTATGGTATTTTAGTGCATTAGCTTTAAGATTATGCCTCCTTGAAATATCATCGCTCTTACTACTTGTCCGCGTTGGTGCTATTTGTTTCCTTCCTTCATTTGAAGCTTGTCCACCTTTTATTTGATGTTCCTACAAAAAAGAATAATATGACTTCAAAACCAATATAGCATATGTGGTATTTACTTATGTTACATGAATTTCAAATAATTATTTCTTTAGCTATTCAGACGTACTTGTCAAGCTTGGACATACCACTTTCCATTAACAAGTCATTTATTATTTCTTTAGCTATTCAGACGTACTTGTCAAGCTTGGACATACCACTTTCCATTAACAAGTCATTTTATTAGTTATTGTCAAGCTTGGACATACCACTTTCCATTAACAAGTCATTTTATTAGTTATAATCATAGTTCCTACGTCCCATGTGCTTTGAAAGGAAAATGAGTTTTTTTACTTATAAGTATAGCACCATATACCGAAGTATAGCTCTCTACGACTAAAGTGTATATCTTTGTTGGTATAGTATAGCCCTGTATTGGTTCTAGAACTATAGAAAAGATATATTTAATGATTGCAAATAGAAATCATATTAAAACCAAATTAATGTCTTTTATGAAGAGAAATATTAATGGAGGAAAGATATTTTTTTAAGAAAGAAATTGGAAATTAATGGGGGCAAGAGAGATTTTGAAGAAGATGAGTATGCCAATTTACTGTTTGGAAAGTAAAAGGAACAACGTGTGAAAATAAATTTCTCCCGCTCACCATTAATGCGATGGAAAACATGATTGCTATTTAGAAGAAGGGAGGAAATGACTATTTTGGATTTTTTTTGGGAGATACCATATAAAGTTTGAGTTTATACTATAGATTGGGTTTAAAGATAAAGTCATACGGGATACTTTGGGTGTATATGTGTTTATGGAAATGAATGAGTTTTTAAATAAGTGAGGATAAAAGTTTGGGTTAAAAAACAAAACACCCTAATCGTAATCTATTTGTTACATTACCTTCTGCTTCATGAGAATATAAATTTCTCATGTACAGTACGTTATCTTATACAAACTATCTCATTTCAGTTAATGTTAGTTATGTTACCTTGGAGATGACTCATTCAAAATTGATTATGGGTTAAGATTCGACCTTGACAGCGGGGTGATTCTTTTTACGACACTTTGAGTCAGTTTTGTAAACAAATATAGCTCTAGATGCATTGTTGGAATTCTGTTAGATGCTTTTAGGAACAAGACATTATACATTATAAATCATCATTATCATTATCGTTGTCGTCATCATCAAAATAATAGCGTTAGTGATGCACTTGACCTTTTAAAATAAAGACATTATTTATATATTAATAATCTTTTTTAAAATAATTGCAGTATTGATTCCCTTCGTTGTGCACGAGAAAGATGCCTAGCTTCCTAAGTAACTATACTATTGAGCACTTTTTGGATGACTAGCTAGTATTCTTACAGAAGGAAAAAAAAAGAGGAAAAAAGTAATAATCCATACGTTAATATAGTTTTATTTGTTCCTTGTTGTTATTGTCAACTAGGTCATTAGCAAACTTGTTCTTTTCATCTTTGGCTTGAAAGGCTTGAGCACTTTTTAAGGAGGAAAGGCAAGAATGAGGAATATACCAAAAATATGTAGCTTGAGAGAACAAAGACGTGCATATGTTAATTTAAATTACTTTTTTCGTGAAGTTTGAGTAGAGAAATTGAATTGTGTAGTTTGGATTCAGATGTGGATGGTAATTCTTTCAATGGACACTTCGAAGTTTGATTTGAAATTTTGAATTTCACTTAGTGTGATGCTTGTCATGCAAATTACTAGTCCTCTACCCATATTTTGGTGAAAAAGTTTTTATTTATTTATTTATTTATTTATTTGGTGTGAGGAACCTTGGGCAGACAAAGAAAAAGTTTTATTTATATTTAATTTTTTTATTGTGTTCTTAAACGGATGAATTGGATGCTCCGTGCACTATAGGAAAGAATTTTCTTTTCCATTTATCGTTTAGTGCCACGGTTTGAAATTATTAATTACATATTTGAAGGCAGATGTCTTTTAGCTCTTTGAAAATTCTTAGCGGATACAAAGATTATCCTCAAAATACCTTGTTTAACGCCTAACGTAACGTTTCACTGTAGAATGGGATCCAGCTGAACCTCTACGGAATCTCCTCCTTCGTTGCATGTAAGTGTAAGTTAAGGATTTCCAACCCTAGCCTCTACAATAGTATAATGTGCAAGACAGGAAAAAAAAAAACTTTGACCTCCTAAGTCCTAAATGCTCACCTACTTAAGAAATAACCATTACTCATTACTGAGTGATAATAACACCTGATATATGTGGAAAGCTCAAAGTTAACAACAATAAGAAAGAAAGGATATCTTGAAGAAGTTTCCATGCTGCATCGTCATGTGCGCAACCAAGTCCATGCCAACTCTTGCCGCACAGATGGGACATACCTTCAAAATGTAACTGATCTTAATTAAGCATCAACAGCTAACTTAGCATTCAACACATATATACACTAAAAGATGAAATACAAAATAGCCATTTTGTTTTCTTATTACTTGATGATGATGATGATAACAATAATTGCACTGTTTATTCTGAGCGAACATCGACATAACACAGTGGGATGGACTATTCAAAACTGTGGGTGCAATAGTCCAAAAGGAAACATTTAATTCATTCTCGAGGATGCAGAACAGTCGAACACCATATCCAAAACACAGCATCATCATGCTTATTTGAAGATTCCAAAAGGAAAATACTTTCAACTCCAAACCGCTTCATATATACAGAAGTAAACAAAATATGAGAACTGCCGGGTAAAAGAAAGCTTACTAACAATTCCAGATTAACGAGAAACCAGACTAAATTACAGGTCATCCTCGATTATATACTACAATTGCCTTTGAAAAACTTTACCAGTTCAGTAAAAGAGACCTAAAGAATCAGCCTTCTAGTGTTCAATCTAATAGATCATTAACCGAAAGCCGAAATTTTTTCAAGGACTTCCAACACAAATAACAAATTTTTACCCCATTCTTCGCCTCAACTGGATGTTCATCATCAATATGACAACAAAGCCCAATGATATCGAAATCCTCGGAACAAAACGGGCAAGCGAAGAACTCCGCTCGAGGCTCCTCATCGCCTCCATCGACTTCTTCAAACCCTAGGTACAGATCTGAACACCAAAAGCCCCATCAAACAACCACTCAAATCCCCAATCAACCTCACGAACTAGGGTTTCATCGAGGACTCACCGTATCGCGATTGAAGAGCAGATTGATGGCGCTTCGATGCAGCAGACAATCGAGTCCAAGAATCGGGTTCCATCGATTGAATCGCTTCCGAGATCGAACAAATCGAAGGTCAAACCCTAATTATATATTACTAGAAAAATTACAGTTTTTTTAGAAATAATTTATTGGGAAAATGGGGGAAGAAGGAGATGAGTGATAAAAGCCAGAGATAAATAGAAAGGAGGAAAGGGGACAGAACCACCGACCGCGGTGGGTCAGCACTCTCACGGATCTCAAACTACCCATATATTTTGGTCACCAGAACCTTCGTGATCGCCAGCGCTATATTTTTGAGAGATCTCTACAATCAAATTCTACATTCTTTACAACAATTTCCAGTTATCTCAATGATTCATGGGATCAAAGCATCTAAATCCAGGTATACCTACATCAATTTCGTCATGTTAATACCTCATCTTCTTAATTTTCAAATTTTAATTTCTCATATTTACTTCTTTAAGTCTCTTATCAAATTTCATATTCTAATCCATAAATTTCAATTAAATTTCCTCAAATTATATCTTTTAATCTTTATCCTTAAATTAGTAATAATCAAATTTCCTATTTTAATTTCTGACTAGGTTTCATAATTTAATTTCTACTCAATGTTGCAATCTATTTCAAATTTTTTGGATTACATAATCATATTTCATCTTATGATCCTTAAGTTAATACACAATTTTTTTTTCATAGGTAGTTGACCGCATCAAATTTCATAAGTATGACATTTATTTGCCCTCAGTTTTGATTGCTTTGGTTTTATTCTCTATTTTGTGGTGAGTAAGGAGTAGAGAATTGTCCCTACCAAGCAATACGAATCTCTTATGAATTTATAGCATGCAGTGTATTTGCGATATTAATTTTTTTACTGTGAATGCTTTAGATGTCATACATTACATGGACTGTAGTGGTTTGCCATTTAATTGTATGGATTAGTACATTGCAGGTTATTACTAGGTGGCAAAGATCTGCTTGCAATGCTTCCTACTGGCTTGCAAAGCAGGTTATTACTAGGTGGCAAAGATCTGCTTGCAATGCTTCCTACTGGCTTGCAAAAATGCAAGAAATGGTAAGAACAGAAGTAGAAATACACAGCATGCTATAAATTCATAAGAGATTCATGTTGCTTGCTAAGGACATTTCTCTGTGCTTTACTCACCAAAAAGAAACAATAGAACCAAAGCAATCAAAACTGAGGGCAAGCAAATGATATAGTTATGATACTTATGAAATTTAAATGTTTTAGAGAGTCAAATTTTCATTTTACCTCCTTAATGAATGTGAGGTTTTAGCAGATTTCAATGATGTGTTCTGACTTGAAATTAATTACTTTAATGTCAAATTTCTCCCTTCTGTGGTTGCAAATACCATGTCCAAAACTGTCAAATCTAATAAAATCCCAGTTACAACTAAGACGTGTATAAACATTTGTTTAAGCTTCACTTACATGACCACAAAGACTAAACATTTGTCATTGCATAATAGATAAAGGAAGTTTGACTCTCTCCTAGCAAATAAGACATCATAAAAGTGAAAAATTGCAAATTAAGCTTAAGAATTTAAGACAATGATCATAGAGTGTGACCTGTACAAGTTCCATCCAAATGTGCTGTTTGTTAATTATATTCTTAATATGCTTCATGTTCATCCATTTTACAGTCAAAGGAATGATTTGTACATAAACATAACTCTCAAATGAAAAAGGAAATCATTTGACTAACCTCCTTATGTATTTGCAAATATTGCTGAAGCCAAATGCTTCAAGTTTCATGCAAATTGTGATGATATGGAATTGTACCTCAATTTTGTGAACTTTGGAACAACATGAGGTAGTTATTTAATTTGAGATGTCGTGATTGATTTTGTCTGTTGTCTTAGTATATTCTTATGGCAAGTAATTTGTGAGTCTTTGTGGTCTATGTAATTATGAGACTTTAAACGCTATCATTGATCTACCATTATGTATACAAATATATGCAGTTGAGCCATATGGTGTCAGACAATTGGTAAGTATGTTTTCGTAGAATTGGAAATTAGATTGTACAAGTATATTAGCTTTTGAATAATTAAGAACATCCTGAGCTAGATCCAGTCCTTTTGGTTTCATTTTCTTCTATTTGATCTACTTTTACATAAAGAATATTTCATTTGTGCAATGGATATTGAAGAAAGGAAAAATAAGTTGTTTGTTATTTTTTGTATTATGCTTAAGAATGTCAATGGATTAAAATAAATTAACATAGATTAGTTTTTAATTTTGTTCTTTTTAATTTATTTGAACCGGAAGTTATGTAAGTTGTGTTGCTCTTATTACACAAAAATTCAGTGTATACTAAGTTTTATTTGTTATGCTCATTTATCATTTTTAACAATGTTCAAATATATCATTTATTATGTTTAACATGTTACCAAGATCATTTACTATGTCTAACAATGTTAGTTTATAAAAAATCAAACATACCTTTGGTTAAATTATATTCATTTATAAGCCAAACACTGAAATTATTTAAACAATACTAAATGAACTAATGAATCAAACTTGATCACATATCTGAACGAATAAAAAAACAAATAGCACCCATATACTTCATATCTAAAGCAAAATACTTTATTTTGGTAACATGTTTACTATTTCCAGAAAATCTTTTAGAAACCGTGCTTTGCACGGGTTTAAATACTAGTATATATATATAGAAACTTATGTCAACTTAAGTGGACGTCCACTAAGTTTCTTAGTCATTGATAATCACTTGATTGACATACGTTGTGGATGATCCGCTCCGTTGAACTTGATCTACATATATATCATACAGATGAGGATAGTTCCCGATAAATCATGGATCAATATTTCTCGTATTGATAGATGGAGGGATAGTCGATATAAAGATGGAATAAATCAATTCATGCAGTACGCCTTGGCAGACCTACAGAAGTTAAATAGTATTGTCGTGCATTGTCCCTGCTGATGGTGTAAAAATAGGGTGTTGGTGGATAAAAGTGATTTACAGAAATACTTAATATCAGGATTTTATGAGGAGTACAAATATTGGACGTTTCATGGGGAAGGATGTCTTGAAGAAATTGAATTGATGGCGGACAACGGTACGTCCGATGGGAGAATAGATGATACGAGGATAGATGATACACATACGATGCTTGCTAATATGTTAACAGTTCCTAATATAGATGAAATTAAAGATGTCGAGGATGCTAAAGTTACAGGAAATGCTGGAGGCGTGACTGATCATGAGGAGCTGGCGCAAATAATAAAATTAATAGACAACAATAAAAATAATCTGCATGAGGGTTGCACCGAGTTCACCAGGTTATCATTTATGCTACGTCTTTTGCGTATAAAGTCTCTTAGCGGAATGGCAGATAAATATTTTAATATGTTGCTTGTGTTGCTGAGAAAAGTCATTCCAAATGGAAAAGAGAGCTTACCAGAAAATTATGATAACGCAAAGAAGATTGTTTTCGTTATAGGACTTGATTATAAAAAAATCAATGCATGCCCTAATGATTGTATCCTCTACTATAAGGATAACAAAGATCTTCAGGAGTGTCCAATTTGTGGAGTATCACGGTGGGTACAACACAAAAATTATTCAACACATGGGACAGCAAGGTCTATGCTTAAGCAAAAGAAGATTCCAGTAAAGATCTTTCGTCATTTTCCCTTAATACCTAGGCTACAACGGTTGCATATGAATAAAGACACTGCTAAGCAAATAAGGTGGCACATGGAAGAACGTATAGATGATGGTAAAATCAGACATCCGGCCGATGCTGAGGCGTGGAAGCATACGGATCGAACTTTTCCTTGATTTGCGAATGAGTGCAGGAATGTTAGACTAGGTTTGTCTAGCGACAGATTCAATCCATTTGGGATTATGAGTTCCGGTTAGTCTACATGACCTGTTGCATTAACGCCTTACAACTTACCGCCTTGGCTTTGCATGAAACAACCGTATATGATACTTTCATTATTGATACCGGACAAGCATACACCAGGAAATGACATAGATGTATTTTTAAAACCGCTAATTGATGAGTTAAAACAACTCTGAAATGAAGGAGTTATAACTTAGTTTAACTTAAGTATTTTTTAGTCATGATATATGTACAATGATAATTTATTTCTTTTATTTTTTTAGGTGAGGATGAGGAAGAGCCGACTCCCGTACCATTATATGTAGATCCTCCAGTGCTACTTCGAGCATATATTCCCGGGATTGAGCGTGGGCCTTTGCCAGCATGTGCAGAGGGATACAGACTCGAGCAAACAGAAAAATACATGCTTGCCAAAAAACGATTGGATGAATTGGGGCCACAGATTGATGAGATATTATCTGATGCAAAAAATAAAATTAAATAAAGATTTGGTGAGTTTGATAAAAAAATTCGAGTATTTGATAATAATAAATTAAATTCTAAGAGCTTAAGGTTGATTAAATAAAAGTGTTGATATATTTATTATTTTTTCTTTGTTGTAGGAGAAAAAAATTTCAAGAAAAAAGGATGCCAGGGAACTGACTTTAGAAAAAAATTACCAACGGATGGTTTTCGTGCAATTGTAAGATGGGGACATAATGGGATTCCAACCGGGCAATGGGCTAATAACTTTAGCTCATACTTGGATGCTTGATACAGAGGAGTGATAATGTGAATCATTATTACGAGGCTGAGGAGCAGCCCTTTCATGTCCTGGAGAGTATATATTGAGATTGTTGGGTAAATTCCTCTATTTAGATTAATTATTTTACAATCCTGTCATTGGTCATGCTTAACTATATGTTAATATTTAGAGATATTTCAACATCGAAGACAATCCCGTAGGGTGGGAATTTTTATTTGGATACATGGGAAAGTTCAAGCATTCTCTTCGAGAGTTGAGACATAAGATAAAGAATAAATACTTTGAAAGTTTCAATCACAACTGGGATAGGATATACAAGTGAGATAAGAGGGTTGAGCCTGAACATTTAGCTGCACTTATAGTATTATGGGGTCAAGAGGAGCACCAGGTAAATATGTATAGTAGTTAATTAGATTCAAGTTATTTATCCGAAACTAGTGATATATTTCATTGTATATTATAACTTGTACTAAATTCTCTTTGTTCATGTTGAAAAAAAAATGTCAGAGAAATAAACTAAATCG